ACAGAAAGGCAAGAACTTTGGGGTACAGCTATATTAGCAGCTAGCCTCAAATGCACAGGGGCCCAGCAACACAAACTGGAGACGGGCCAAACAGATCACCCAACTCATGCCCACTATACTTAATAAGTCTGTAAGAGCAACCTTAAGTCAAGAGTTCAGCTGGTTTCTAATGTTCCCAATACTGACTTCAAATACAAACAGCTAAAAGGGAAAAGCAAAAAGTCTATTATAATAGAGAAAAGCTTTCTCTATTATCAACCTCCATTTGATAACTCAAAAAAAAATTACAGTTCTTTTACGTTGTTAAAGAACTACTATGTAAAATCACATTTGACAAGGAAATGAGACCTGTGTCACAAAATCGGGGGAGGGGGGAAGGCACCAAGGGAGGGAAACGCAATGTCTGATGTACACGCACAAAATGTAACGATGGTGAGACGGGCTTCTCTGTAGACTGACTGTTGTTTTCAAGACAAGGTTCCTGACAGCATTCTCCCAGTTCCAACTGTAGCTGACACACTGGCTACAGATTAGTTCTCATTGAAACGATGTTCGTGTGGGTTAAGTACACGAGCCCATGGAGTACTGGATCCTGTGCGGCTGGAGTTACAGGTGGTGGCTGTGAGCAGCCTGTAATAGGCACTGGGAACTGAAGTCAGGTCCACAAAAGCAGCACACTTGGGCACTGAGCCACCCCCAGCCTGCTCAGCTTTTAAGAGTTCATGTGTGTTTTGTGTTTTCAGCATTTCTGACTTAGGACATGTCTGCTTTTCAACTGCACTGTGCATTCTTACTCAGTGTGGAGCTACTTCTCATTTATGTGTTCCAACCATACCCTTCTGTTCAGAAGTCAGACCACTGAAGAGACTGAGAAGGCATATGCTGAGACTTAATGTCTGTCTACAGAAGCTGACATCCACCAAGCCTGTATCAATGGTCATCAATGAGGCTCTCTGGGGAAGACCACACCAGAGGACCTTACATATTTATGAACAGCACCCAATGGTGTTTTTGGTGAAACTAGCTGCACTGGACCTGGCAACCAACAGAAGATTCAGGGCTGGGGGTAAGTCCCTGGAAGACGGCTTAAGATGCTGGGCTCCTCTCCAGGTGCACAAGCACAAGAACCCAACTATAGAAATCCCAAGCCGTGACTCAAGACCCACCCCAAATGTAATCGTCTTACACACACAAGAACCACAAGCATCAGAATATAAATTTGTGAAAATTTTCTTTACAAGAAACATAGAAATCATTATAAAATTGCAAAATTTAAAAACATGGTTGCTTCAGCCAAAGAATGTAAACGTTGAGGAACAGAGGAGAGCAAGGCTCTGCAGCCTTCTAGAGAAACCACAGGCCAGGCAGGTCCTCAGGACAGGATTACTGAAAACGCCATTCACAGCAATTGTATTGGTCTCACTGTTCTTAAAGGGTTCTACCAAAAACAAGTTATTTTTAATGAGATTAAACAAATCAAAATAATTACAACGGAGATTATGAAATGTAACATCAACAATCCTTTGCACTGAGGATGTTTAGATATCCAAGCACAGGTCCCTTTATTCTGTCTGTATGTGAAGGCAGACATCATCGCCTGCTTACCTCAGCCCTGCGGGGTCCTCTGCCCTGCAGTCCCCCACAGCACCTGACTAACAAGACAAACACTTCATCAATTATCCTGTGTGGAGTATAATCCTGGCAGACTGAGACAACGGCGAGGACAACAGTGAGATTGAACACATTTCTCATCGGCTTGCTGTTTTTGAGATGCAATTTGGTATAGTTGAAATAATACTGACCTAGAGAAACTCTGCTCTAACCTGCTTACACCCTTTTTACAGATTAACAGAGCCATGTGACACTGTACAAACTTAACTTGGGAAAGAAACAAAGCTGGGTAAGTTCTGTTTTTAAATTTTAACAATATAAAAATCAGAATACAACATTTCATGCCTATATTTTAAGGTTATTCAGGTTCTAAAGGAAGTAATAGAAATTACAAAATATTCTCACCTTTATTACAAAGAAAACCTCTACAAATGTTATTTATATTAAAGCTATAGTGTTAGAATTGCAAAATGCCCTACACCAGGTCATAAGATTCTTCAACAATATTTATACACAAAATTTTTAACCTTTTATGAAATAGAATAGAAAAATATCTTAAATTAAAACCTCACAAAGTGCCACTCTGCTTTAAAAAGAAAAAAGACTTCCAAATAATATATGGTCTGAATTTTTCTTTACAAATAAACTACATATGTTTATGTATCTCTGCAACCTGAGGCCTTGTTAGACACAGCGTGTCAGGCTTTGTACTAGAAATCCACATAGGCTAAAATATGGTTTACCTTTAGGATTTATACAGGGGTATAAAAATCGAACAATTAAAGCTGTGACTCAAACCATTTCCACTGGTTCAGCCACATTTACCCATTTTTATATTCAATTATCTCATATCTTGTTAGCCATGCATCAAGAAAACAGTTCAACACAACAGAACATACATATTTTTAACTACGGCAGATTCTACCTTTTGAAGGTTATTTGCAGATTTCCTCGTGGGGGAAGACAACTCTAGAGTCTGTTCCTCCTCAGACCGTGTGCCTGCAGGCATGGACCTCGGGGCCCCGTGCCTCTGCAAAGCACCGTCACTGCTGAGCCACCTCAATGGTACCTACTTAATTAATAATGTGTGACACAGAGAAAAAAATCTATCAGTATTTCTTCTTTCCTTTTGGTTGGTTTGTCTCAGGATCCCATTCGGGCCTTGAACTCTTGGAAATCCTTCTTGCTTCGTCTCCCAAATGCAGGGCTCTAGTCAGCGTTTTATATGGTCAATGAGTTAGACACATGTGAAATACTTGAGGTTTTAAGTATTGTCCACTTTATTTTCTTTTCATCTGAAATTCAGAATTAATGTGCAACCACATTAATGTATGAAAAGGTTTACTAAAAAAATAAAGAATTTTTTTTAACAATCTTTACTACTTCAAGATTCTTTTAGGTAGAACAAATGTTACTTGTGGTAGGAGTGCAGACTCTGACTTACAGATTCTCACTCAATCCCTGTAAGACAACAGGCATGGTAAAACGGTAGACCCTCGACAATGTTAAGAAATGGAAGTTCCACCCAAATGCCATGTGCTTCGGAGCCGGTGGCAGCACTTCCTGGAAAGTGTAAGAAACAATCTTCATGGAGATCTAGCCCTGTGCTCACTACAGATATCAACACTGCCATACTAAGTGCAAACTGTGTGGTCTATGTGTTCCGGTCCAAAAATGCTACCAGGTACCCAGGAGATGGGTAAGCATCTCTGTCTTGAGCAGACAGTAAATGCCTCAGGCTTCAGGCCCTATATCTCATCACTCCAATAGGCCACCAAGGGGGGGGGGGAGAATATATGGGGGGATGGGGAAGACAAGCGACAGACTGTGAATGAAAGCTGTGCCTAAGGGCTGCACTGCCCAGTACTGGACCAGACGTGGATCTGGGGAAAAAAAATCAAGAACCCAGTTCCACCATAAACGCCATATACAGACAGGCACAGGAAGATCAGAGCTGGGTGAGAAGAAACATTAACAGATGTTACAGACTTAACTTTCCAATTATATTTGAATGTATGTGTAGATATGCATACACACAAGTTATAAAACTAGCTTACTTACTATTGTTTTTGGTGTGCTAACAAGTGTCAAGCCCAAGTCAATCAGAAGCAAGGGGACCATGAATACCTGGGTACTCAGAGGCTAATCAATAACCAGCATTATAGTTTTGACATCTAAAAATGTCTATACATTGATAGTAACTTATTTGTTCCTATGTACTTTCCCTAGAGAACGTTAGATGTTTGTTTCCAGATGTCATCTTAAAATTAAATTGAACTGTTAACAATTTGAAGCTAAGTGTAATTTGCTTTGTTTTATTAGAAAAAATACTCAAGCAAGGTCTACAATCATCGGTCAATTAAGAATGACTTACAAGAACATGAGACAATAAAATAAAAATACAGGTACAAACTATATATCTCCAACACTCTATTTGGCAATATTTTAACAAACCAAAATTTTAAAGGAACATAGGAGATTGCAGAGTACTTCGAAGATACAGAATAAAACAAATGATGAAGTGCTTAAGCAAAAAAAAAAAAAAACAAAAAACAAAACAAAACAAAAAAATAGTAAAACACACTGCTTTTTCTTCTTCTGAAAATAGACTCCCATTTACTACAGAGCATCTGAGCTGGCCGGCCGGCCGGGGCGTGCTCGTCCGCAGTGCTTCCTCCCTCTTGTCCCTCGGGCTCCATGACTGCTCCACGTCTACCTTTCCCCCGTTAAAGCCTCCCATTCTTGTGGACCTTGTGTGCGTGTGGTCTTTCTTTTTTAAGCAAATGAGAAAATGAGCTATGCACCATGGAACCTTTCCCATTTTGGAACCAAAGGATTAACTTTATATTTGTCTATTCTTTAAAAACTTTAGAGTAAAAACTGCTGGTGTTCCTGTCACTGTGGGGAGTGAGAACTCCGAGTGAGGAGTGCTTTCTGCAGTCTGACTGCACAGCACATACTTTACAGTCTGAGCTCCCAACAGTAAGAACAGCTACTCCAGTCACTGTCAGAGGGCAGTGCCATAAACTTCTAGAATGGGTCTAGGTCCTCCCTCAAGGCTTTCTGGAAGGATGCCCAATGCTTTGTTCTTCGACATTAACAGTAGTACACAGTGCCTTCCGTCTGCAGACATCGCTCATTAAAGGTGCTTGGTTAGCGATCCCTCCGGCAGCACTAGTGAGTTACAACTTCCTTCAATATTATTTCTACCATAATATATACATTGACTTTCATGCCTCTAGAAAACATCTACAGTACATTTCATAATAGAAAAATATATTACAAATCTGCTGAATTATTTACAAGCAACGCTCTATTATCTCTATGCAATATTTGTTTGATACAGTACTGACAAGTTACACATTTCTGTAAAAGTTAAAAAAATTCCATATGGCTTCTTGCCTGCCAAGCAAGAAAGTGATTTTATTTTCCTTTTCAAAACCAACTTTGGTGCATAAAAAGATTCAGTTTGAAGATATTTTAAAAAAAAATACAATTTTTTAACATTAAAAAAAATCTCAAAAAACACTTTCCTCAGGGGGAAAAAAAATTAAAGAGTCAGAGGTTAAATGAAAATATGGAGAGTATTCAAATAATTTGAAAGTGAGGTTTTTTTCAAAAACCATTGACAAGAGTCATGTAGGTAAATATGAACACGCTGTGCCCCATGAGAGACCCTAGTCCTGAAAAGGGAGCCATCAGACATACGGCAACACTCTTTGACAGTAATTCTCAGACCTAATTCGATAGACGAATTTTTAGTTGATTGCAAATGTCGTTCACTGTTTGCTTAAATACAAATTGAACATTTTTCTTATCAGAGTTCTGCAAAAGAACACAAATGGCAACCAATCACATCTATTTATCATAACTGAAAGGTTAATTATCTCTTGATAATCTCCACTGTCTAAATATTTTCTATTAGGACTTCAAATCAATACACACTGTCAAGATGGTTATCTTACAGTGCTTTTGGTATTTTTAAGGGCAATTGTTTGTCTCTCCAATAAAACTACTGTAATCACTACAGGGAAGAACAAAAGCAGCCTAAGCAGCGAGCATGCAGAGCCTTTCAGAAGCTGTTCAACTGAGTTGCCAGAGAGTGTCTGCGCAGTCTCCCACAGCGCCACAGTGCCATGACACGTGGACCACAGGATATATTAATATACTCCACACAAGACCTACTCCATTCACAGATGTCCACACTAGGCATAAATAGTACTCTAAAAACTGGACTTAAAAATAAAAGAGGAAGGGGTTGACTCTAATGTGCAACTTTCCCTAAGCCCATTGTCAGTGACTAAGACTGCAGGTGTCCCCGCTTGTTTGCTTTTATGTATTTATGTATGTTTTACCTCTTCAACCTCTTCTGCGGCATTGTTCTAGAAAGAAAAACAAAAATTCTTTATTCAGTTGAATCAAACACTTCAAAATATTAAAATTTATATTATTAAAAATGTTGAACATAGTGACGGTGACAGAGTATCACATAAAGTATGGCTGTGTGCCTTCAATCCCAACTACTGAAGATTTAGGCAGGGGGATTACTTCAGCTTGGGAGTTCAAGCACAGCTTGGGCAACACAGAAAAACCTGTCTCAGGAAACAAATATATCGAAAGCAAAAGTAATTAGCCTAAAACATACAGATATAAAAGAATTTACGTAATTTTTAATAAGAAAATTCCCTGTAGTCTGATAATTGCTTCTATCATCAAGACTTCCACGTCTATTATATACTTTTAACTATTTTTAAATGTATGTTTACATTTCAAATAAATGTTCTTTGTGGTCACATTTGGAAATGAAGTATTCATTTTCTAGTAGAACAGTCATACTTTCATTTTGACGTGTATATTATCGAGAAATTATTCCTCAAGGAACTCAAGTGGGGAGGAATAACATTTTCTGGTGAAAATGCAGCAAGTTAAACCCTAACCTCACACCAAGAAGAAATCAAGCCTTTATCACTATCCCACAGTATTTCAGTCTCCTCAGTTTCAACTTCCAGAAGAAAGGCTCCAAAGACAAAGTTGAGTGTTAAGACCTGGGAGTTGTTTCTTTGGGGCTGGTTGTTTTACTATCGTTAACACACAAGCCAGGTGTAATGAGGTGCAATGTCTGTAAGCTGAACGCTCAGGAGACTGAGGGTGTGGAGCTCCAGCCCAGCCTGGGCTACGCACAAGCGTCTCATGTCATAAGAACGCCCTCACTTCCCAAGAAGACACGTATGTATCTTGAACCAGCCAGCCTGGTTTCTAGTGTATTTCTGATCCAATCTAAGTGTGAAGGCTATGTTAAATCACTTTCATTAACATATGTGTTTTCTACAAAGCACAACAACACAAAAACAAGCTGATGTGTGAGAAAGGGTGAGGGGGGAGAATGGGAAGCTGCTGACTCTGAAGGTGGGTTCGAAAGCAGATGAGCTCTCCCAGAACACTGCTCTCCTAGTTTCAATGACCTCCTCACAGAGTTCGTAGGAGCAAATCTAAGTGAGGCACCATCAAATAAATGCCACTCGTATGATTTCTCAATTTTATCCCATCTGTCAAGAATAAGTTTCATTGTTTTGTAGCACTTTCTAGAAAGGCTATTTTAAAAGTAGGAGCTGGGCAGTGGTGGCGCACACCTTTAATCCAAGCATTTGTGACATAGAGGCAGGTAGATTTCTGAGTTCGAGGCCAGCCTGGTCTGCAGAGTGAGTTTCAGAACATCCAGGGCTACACAGAGAAACCCTGTCTTGTGTGTTTTTTGTTTTTTGTTTTTTACTCACTTTGTAGACCAGGCTGGCCTCGAACTCAAAAATCCACCTGTCTCTGCCTCCCATGTGCTGAGATTAAAGGCATGTGCCACCACTACCCGGCAAGAAGCCCTGTCTTGAAAAACCAAAAAAAAAAAAAAAAAAAAAAAAAAAAAAAGTGGGGAGAGTAGGGGAGCCCAAAAGGCTCAATGTTCCCGCATAGCAAGGCCCATGATGTTAGAACTCTGCTCTCAGAACAATGCCTCAAACAAGAACCTGATACACTGAATGGTATTTTAGACACCTGAGTCTCAGAAGGAACAGAATCTTTCAAAGAGTTCAATTACTACAAAGAGAAGTTAGGGACTGGGATACAAATTAGTGGGTAGGACTCCTGACTGACTGACTGGCATGAGCACCCCAAGTTTAATCACTACTCCACCCTACCCAACCAGATTAGCTAACTTTATGTTGGCTAATCTACCTGGGGATTTATTAGCATCATCTTACTGCTGGCCAATCCATTCTCATAAGAAATACATTAAATTATAACTCCGACCTAAAACTGTAAGGCTGAGTGAGTGTCTTCTTAATCACTGTCTGTTATTTGGACACAGCAGCATGAACTTAGGCTCACACTGTGTGACTTTGGGCCACACAGTATGAATGAACTCCCTACTACAGCTATGATCTATGCCGAGACAGTGGTCCCAAAGAGCCTGCTATGTTGTGTATCAGCCAAAAAAAAAAAATTCCTGGGCGCTTCTTTTCGTAACACTACAGTCCGAAATGTTAGGTCAGACAAGCTCAGAGACGAGACTCAGGAAGTACTTAACAAGCTCAGTGCTACTTAAACCTCTCTTTGGAAAGTCTGGGGAGAATGTGAATGGAGTGCCAGGCATACAGAACACACTCCATGTCTTTTCAGTCCCACAGAAGTCTGACACATGGGTGGCAAGGCAGCACTGATGACTTGGCATGTGGGCAGCTCCACAACCCCCGCACCACCCAAGAAAACTAACAGGGGCATTTTTCTATTGGACAGAAAAATCTAGCACAAGGTGCTTGTCCCAGGTCCAGAAATCTACATTCTGAAGCCTTCTGAGCAATGTGATTCTGCCGCTCTGATGAATGTTCAATTAATCATGTCTAGGCAAAAACAAAACAAAAACCCAGCATTTTAGATAAAGATTATATTCTAGCTCTACTGAAAAATAAATTCCAACTTACCCCAAAATTTAGAAAGATCAAAATAACAATTCAAAAAGAAAAGTATATGGCCACGAAGTAAGTTACCTGTAAATGTTTGGGTCCAACAGCAAGGCAGTATCTTTGGGTAGCTTTGACAAATGAACTACTTTAGTTTTTAACTGATGTCGTTCACTTTCATTGACCCATACATCTGGCAGACTGTGAATTAAAAAAGAAAAGCCATCAATGTACAACTATATCCTACACGTACTGTTGCTGTGTCTTCACTTTTCTGATGCTCTGACAGGAACACCCCTGTGCTTCTGCAAAGACAGGTATGGCAGACCACCTACTCAAGTTAAGAGTCAGGCATAGACAGCAGCACACATTCAATGAGTAGCATTTGGGGTATAGGATGGACTGGGAATTTGTATAGTCTGGCTTTCAACTAAATTAAAGAAAGTCTAACTAACAGCTTATTTCTTCACTAACTACCAAGAAGAGGTCTCTCGATGGGCAGTGGTGGCACACACCTTTAATCCCAGCACTTGGGAGGCAGAGACAGGTGGATTTCTGAGTTTGAGGCCAGCCTGGTCTACAAAGTGAGTTCCAGGACAGCCAGGACTACACAGAGAAACCCTGTCTCGAAAAAACAAAAGCAAAAACAAGAAGACGTCTCTCCTGAGACTGAGCCGAAAGAGAAAGGGAAAAAGTATCCAAAAAGGAAAGGTGACCGAACTCTGAATTTAAAAGTAAAAGTACTTAATCCCACAAAACAGTCAAATCACTTTAATATCTGCATTGTTCAATGTCCATATCATTGAAATTTGACATTTTTAAAAAAGTTTATTTTATATGTATGTCTGCGTGCCACGAATGTGCCTGGTGTCTGGAAGGCCAAATGAGGTATGAAGATCCATGCATTAGATGCTGTAAATCAAACCTGTCTGCTCAAAAATCAGCATCAACAAAGAAGGCCATGAGTTCACAGAACAGTGGGTTACATGGAAAGACCTTATCTACATGAAAAAGGTTCCATGTGGGTACCAGCCTTCTAACTGCAGGCCATTCCACAAAAATGATTATGCTGACTTCATACTCTGGCCAACCAACTGTGGCTGGGGAGGCCAGAGGGTCCAGGGTATAGCACTTCCAGCTGCTACCTACTAAAGGAAGAACATCTGTCACGCTGCCCTCTGACCTTACACACACTGACCGGTTGGTGGTGATCCTCTCAGTCCTCATCAGAAGCTTCCTTACACAATTTAAGTCAAAAGTATAAAAACCTCTAAGAATGCTCAGTTGTCAATTTGACAGCCTCAAAGCACAGTACACTCTGTACGTTAAATAATTTTCACACTCATGATTTTAATAAAAATAAAACATGTTTACTTTTTACACACTGATTCAAATACTTACATGTCTTCCGGCATCCAATGAAGCAAAAGCTTTATCTTTCCAGACTCCTCCTTTCTCTTAGCTATTACCTAGTAACATTACAAAAAGAAATAAAGAAAAAACTGTAAGACACCATTTCTCTCTACTCTTAAATTGTCGTGGCCATGCCTACCAGAAAAGGCGTGGCCATCACAGCATCCTATCCTTTCTGCTTTGCACACCTAACCTCTTCCCACAACACACAATTACAAGGTACCCACACACACTCATGAATTTAAAGAATAAAATCTTTTAGAAAACTTAAAAAAAAAACCACTAAAGCAACTAATGACTATCAGGAGAGCTCAGCAGCTATAAGCACATTCTTCAAGAGCTGATTCTGATTTGGGAGAACCTACTCCCAAGTAACTTCTGGTCTCTAGATGAATGGAGATACAAGACAATAGAGAACAAACAAACAAGAAAACCAGAAAGCAGGTTTGGTGGCATACACCTATAATCCCTGGAAAGAGGGCCTAGGAGTTCAAGGCTATCCTTTGCTACATAGACAGTTACAAAGTAACCTGGGCTATAGGAGTCCCAAAACTGTGGCAAAGAAAAGGAGATATCTGTCTACCTGGGTTTCTATTGTACATGGTGGGTCAATTCATCTTTAGGTCTAACACAGAGTGGCCCACCTACATAGGCAGTGTTATCAAACCATTGCTGAGTCTGAAAGCCAAGGTGACCCTGGTATTTACAGGTCTCTAGAGCCCACACTGACACTGGGGCTTTAATTTGTGTCACCTGAACACCATTAATACCGAGTTCAAGTTAGAAATGTCCAAGTAAATAGTTATATTGTTCTCAAAACATATCACAACTAATATCAGAACAAAACTGATTATTTCCTCTAGTATATAGAAGCCTGTAGTTGAATAAATGCATTAATATTAGACTTGGCAATTAATGGAAAAATTCAAAAGTAGATCTGAGGTAAAACAACAAACAATGCCAGAACAACTCAGGTCAACAGAGCACAGCACCACACCTGGAAAGTGTGGCTCTGCTGACCTCTTCTGGAGAAAACTCCAATGAAGGCATGCACTAGCACATGGCAACAGTTTCAAGTATTTCATGACCTTTTCCTATGACAGTCATTTCTTACATTTGAACAGTTACTAATAGGGACACTTACATTTACTGTTTGTATTAAGCAGTTCTGCCATTTTAGCAGAATGTGGTGCTGTGTAACTACAATGCCAGGCCCCACAAAGCTGAGGCAGGAATTTGAAGGTAGCTTTGTAGACTATCTCAAACTTTATTCTCTAAAGGTTGATTCTACTTAATGTACAGGGATGTCCATCAAAGTGATGAGAACTTGCTAAGCTGGCTCATTCCTCTGTTTCATCATCAAAATGATGGGGATATTTAGTTGGGGGTATTTACACACAAAATACATATTGAACACAATGAAACAAACACACACTAAATGATGACAACATGAATGTGTGAACACACACATACACACATTCAATTAGGTCTCTTCTTCAATTGCTCACCATCCTACTTTTATGTAAATTTTTCTTGGTAAAGCACACATTTAATTGGAGCACTCGGGAGGCAGAGGCCAAGTGGATCCCTGAGTTCCAGGCTGGTATGTCCAGACTGGAACCGTCTGAGGAAGAGCAGACTGTATCTCTGAGCACCAGGCTCTCCAGTGGGCACTCTCCTCCACAAGCCACTCTGCCAGCCCTGCCAGCTCACCCTCTACTTTATTTCACTTTTTGTTCCTGTCTGCCTTTTGTACCATATTCTTGAGACACAATTGCTCACTTAGCCTGGAAGACACTGATTGGTTAGATTGGGTGGTTGGTGAGCTTGAGGGATCTTCTTGTCTCTCATGCCTCAGCACTGGAGTTACAGACAGCTGTGGTGGTGGCCTTGGGGCCACCTTTCCTATCAAACTTGTCACAGGACTAAACTTCTTGTCAGTGTTACCAAAACAGAATCTACCCTTACCTCCACTGCAAGCCAAAATCTGTATTCCTATGTTTTCATTGTTTATTCTATTTATTTGTGTGCTAAAAGAGGTCAGTGTGGGTGCTCACATGCCACAGCACACGCAGGAGTGTCAGGAGAATGTGTGGGAGTCGGTTCTCTCCTTCCACCACGTGGGTCACAGGAGTTGCTCAAGAGTTGGCAAGTAGCCAGGCGGTGGTGGCTCACGCCTTTAATCCCAGCACTTGGGAGGCAGAGGCAGGCAGATTTCTGAGTTCGAGGCCAGCCTGGTCTACAGAGTGAGTTCCAGGACAGCCAGGGCTACACAGAGAAACTCTGTCTCGAAAAACCAAAAAAAAAAAAGAGTTGGCAAGCATGGTGCGAAGCGCTTGTCATGTCAGTGAGCCATCTTACTGGCCCAAGACTTCCTTCCTTCTCTACAACCTGCTATCAGCACAAAACCCAAAGTTACGTATCTACACAAGAGAGAAAAAATTAAAAATAAAACAAAACACAAACCAGTAGATAGGTTCTGTAGCATGAGCACAGAAGCATGGGTAAACTACAAAGGTAGAGAGAACTTGGGACTGACAGCTCTGGGGATGGATGGCTTCACTGACGAGTACAGTGACATCAACCATTTACACTCGCCACCTTGTTTTTCCAAGCACAGTGGGACTTGGAATACTGTACACACACATCTCACAGTGTTTTCCTTAACTTTCCCTTTAGCTGTGTTGTTTATCACTCAAAATCTAATGTGAGAATCTCTTTATTATAGGAGGAACTGAGACGCCAATCTATTCACTGCCAATACTTCCAAACCTTCATTTGTTGAAAAAGTAAACAAAAGTAGCCCAATTCTAGTGTATTTCCTATTTCAAAACAAAATCTGGGCTAGAGACATGGTAACTGGTAAAAGCACTTGCTGCATAAACCTAGAGACCTGAATGCAACCTCTAGAACCACATCAAGGTAGAGGAAAACACTGACCCAACCTCTGACCTCACAGGCATTACTATAGTATGTGCATCCACACAAACACCATGAGTACGTACAGTTACTTGTATTCTCTCTCTTTCCCTCTCTCTCTTTCCCCACCCCCCTCTGTCTGTGTGTGTGTGTGTGTGTGTGTGTGTGTGTGTCTGTGTAAAAATGCCCACAGACCACAAGAGGGTCGTGACATAGTGCTAGGTCTTCTGCAGGAGCAGCAAGCACTAAACCACTGAGCCATCTCTCTAGCCCCAAATCATTCATTTTTCCAAGAATTCAAACTGCCAGAAGCCTTACATAGAGACCCATGCCAAACTACATCAATTTAGAAATGTCTACAAAGAGGCTGGAGACAGATGCAGTGGTGGAGAGTACTTGCTGTCCTTGAAGAGAATCCTTGAAGAGTTTGGGTACCAACAACCATGTGGCAACTCAAGTTACATTATCTCCAGATTCAAGGAATCTGAACTCCTCAGACATCAGACATACATGGTGGAGAGATGTAGTACCAGGCACACACATACACATAAGTTAATAATACTTTTTAAAAATAATGGACAACGAAGCCGGGCGTTGGTGGCGCACGCCTTTAATCCCAGCACTTGGGAGGCAGAGACAGGCGGATTTCTGAGTTCGAGGCCAGCCTGGTCTACAGAGTGAGTTCCAGGACAGCCAGGGCTACACAGAGAAACCCTGTCTCGAAAAACCAAAAAAAAAAAAAAAAAAAAAAATAATGGACAATAAATTAGCTCCTAGGTAACCAACTGATTTTATTGTTCTGTGTTTCTAAACTGACATTCTGCTTGTTCTGGGTTGAAAATCTAGCCCCAAGAAATAGTGACTCTCCACAATGTGTTGGCCAGCCACAATTCTAGAAAACTGGGGTTATAGCTATGAAACAAAACACTTAAAAATCCACCGCTCTGGGCTGGAAAGATGATTCAGTGGTTAAGAGCACCAATTACTCTTACAGAGGTTCTGAGTTCAATCCCCAGCAACTACATGGTGGCTCACAACTATCTGTAATGGGATATGATGCCCTCCTCTGATGTGTCTGATGACAGCTACAGTGTACTCATACACATGAAATAAATAAATAAATAAATATTTACAAAAAAAAACCCTCCTTCATGATGATGACATTTACACTCCCACCCTAGCCCCACCCAAACACTTTTTTTTTTGGCTTTTGGGACTAGGTGTTGGAGATTGATCCTAGGGCCTCCAATATGCTAGCAAGTATTCTATCACTGAGCTACACCACAATTCTTCATTTTCAGCAACTAAGTTGTCCAGGCTGGCCTTATACTTACTCTAGCCCAGGCAAGCCTTGAACTTAAAGATTCTCCTGCTTCATTCTCCAGAGTGCTGGGATTACAGGCATGTACTAGCATATCCAACAAATTCTGTGACTTTAACAAAATCTCTTAAATTTTGAGCAATTTATATATTAATAAATGTGAAAGCCAATGTATACTTTTTTTGCCAATCTATATTATTTGAAAGAAAAACAGAATACTTACAGTACTATGAAAAACAACACTGTGTCCCTTCCCTAAACTTTCTATGTGAGCAGAGAGATTAAAGCATATGGCTCGATGTCTTATGGCATCCAGTGTTTGTGCATCGAAGAAATCATGTGGTCGCGCTAAAAGTCAACACAAAAAAGTTAAAGACAGTTTAGAAAACTTCAACAGTTTGCTAAATGCTCACATGTTTTCCAAACACAGGAGACTGCAGCTTTAACTGACAGGGAACCAGGTAGACCCTGCCCAGTGCCTAGCTGCACATGTCTTTGTGATCTGGTGAAAACAGGCAGAATTCCAATTATCAATGAATGAATCCAGCAACTCCATTATTAGTCTCAGAATCTATGAGCTATTTAATTTTCAACAGTGACCATCTCTATTTGTATAACAAGAAGGTTTTAAACTTAGCATGTGATTTTATAAACATTCTCTTTATATGCCATCAAAACCTTTCCACAACTGTGGCAAAGGCAATAACACTCCAAGTTCACACCAAGTATTTTCTGATTACCAATAAATGCCCTAAGAGAACAGGGTAAGAAAAACCGTACAGAGATGGCACCTCCATTGCCATTCAAGTCTTGAATGCTGGAGGGCTCACACAGTCCCTCACCTCAAACACACAGGCCGAGGCACTCAGCCAAATCCATAACTAAGTCCTCCCATAGGTGAGTTGAGCACTCTAACCATCTATACAATTCTAAGTTGCAACTAGTTAGTTCAAAAGTTCAACCAGGTCTCAACTGTATTAACTATATGCGTGGCTTAACCTTCATTAGATTGTTTCTTTCTTTTATATTTTACTTCTGAGATAGTCTTGTATAGCCCAGGCTGGCCTGAAACTTCTTATATGTCCCAAGTCATAACAATCTCTTTGTTAGTATATCAAAATAAAACCATTTTCAAGCCAGGTTCACCCAGCACAGACAAAGCTCTTAGAAAGAATGAGTACGGGGTCGCCCTAGGCAATGTACCAAGATCCAGTCTCCAAAAACACAGAAGGGTTGGTCTCCGAGCAGTATCTAAGTATTTGACAACCCTGATTTTTAATGTAACTTGACACTCAAGAAGTTATGCTGTAGTTCTATTTAAAATCTACTTTGTATAATAAGAAATAACGTAAGGGAGGGCTGGACAGTGATGGCACACGCCTTTTGTCTCAGCACTTGGGAGGCAGAGTCAGGCGGATTTCTGAGTTCAAGGCCAGCCTGGTCTACAGAGTGAGTTCCAGGACAGCTAGGGCTATACAGAGAAACCCTGTCTCAAAAAAACCAATAATAATAATAATAATAATAATAATAATAATAATAATAATAAAAGATAAAGTAAAAATGGCCACAACTGATTCCCTCAGTAAAGTGCCAAGACAAGAAACAGCACTGCTTCAGTGTCCCACAGATGGGTGTGTCAGAAGGGAGACCAGAAATCAAACCACAGCACTGTCTGCTCAACAATGGCTCCCAAAAGTGAAAGGCTTTGGGTGTTTTACAGTTTAGAGAGCAACATACATTCATCCTCTCCAAAACAACACAAAAACCAAAACCCTGAAAAATAGGTAAGAAGTGTTTCCATGCACGGCTGTCACTAGCACTTGGCTCACCTCAGCAGCTGAGCTTACCAGAAGCTGCAGGACAGAGTGGCACCTCTGTAAGTAGCACATGTGCCAACTCTAAACAAACTAACTGGGTTCTGAGGGGCACTCACCTTCACTTCTAAGAGTGAACAGGCAGGAAGTGGTTTCAGAAGATCAAGAATTAGATAGAGGCCGCCAGGCGGTGGTGGTGCACGCCTTTAATCCCAGCACTTGGGAGGCAGAGGCAGGCGGATCTCTGAGTTCAAGGCTAGCCTGGTCTACAGAGTGAGTTCCAGGACAGCCAGGGCTATACAGAGAAACCCTGTCTCGAAAAACCAAAAACAAACAAACAAACAAACAAACAAAGAATTGGGAGGCCAACCTGGGCTAGGCTAAGAATGCCTTGAAAAGAAAGCAAAAGGGAGCCTAGATTGTTGGCACATACCCATAATCCGAAGCCTGGTTTACACAGTGAGATAGTTAGGAATGGGACAGCAGAGAGAGATTTAAATGGTGATGCAGTAGGAAATGAGAGGGTAAGCTGCCCTGGCAGAATACAACATCAAACAGTTTTCTTTTTTCTGTTTTAAATTCATGGCAGGGTTCTCTCCTTCTCCATGTGGGCTCCAGAGATCAAACTTTCATCAGACTAATTAATGCCAGGATTGGTTCTGCATCTAGGTTATTGGCCTAACTTAACTTCCCTTAGTGATAAGCTGAAGTAAAACTCTTCCCAAAGTTACTTACAGTCCCAATATTTAGAACCAACTAAGACAGTACATAAAGATATTTTTACTTTAACCGTAGGAAATAATTTAGTTAAGAACACTTTTTTTTTCCTTTGTAGTCAATTCAGTTGTTCACCATGGCTTTGTAGTTTTGTACTGGCAAAAATATTTCAATGTTTTAGCAACCTCCTTTATGGTTCAGACCTGCACCTGCCTTTTCTTCTCTACCTTGCGGAGCTCCCTTCAGGCCTTCACTCACTGCCCTCCCTCCACTCTTTCATCACTCCAGATGTGCTGACCAGTGGACTCGAAGAATCAAGCATGGCAGCCACCAGGCTCTGCAGTGAGGGCAGATTCTTACCCCAACACTCGTAAGCCTATTATTGTCTAATTATTTTAGCCCTAAGTATCAAAGGAGTGTCCTGCCGGGCGGTGGTGGCGCACGCCTTTTGTCTCAGCACTTGGGAGGCAGAGGCAGGCGGATTTCTGAGTTCGAGGCCAGCCTGGTCTACCGAGTGAGTTCCAGGACAGCCAGGGCTATACAGAGAAACCCTGTATCGAAAAACAAAAAAACAAAAACAACAACAACAACAAAAAAAAAAAATCAAAGGAGTGTCCTATACATAACCTAGTAGTTAAAAGCATAATCTTCAGATGGTCATGTTGTTTGTCACACAGATCACACACATCCTACACTTTGACTGGTTGTTTAACTCATTTTACTTTTACTTCTGACATGATCAAAATTTTTTAAAGTACTTGTAGAAATAAATATTGCCAATTTTTAAAAACAAAAAATTTTTATTTTATAAAAAATAAAATTGAAATTGTTTTCAATTTTTCTAATTAATAACAAATCAAACTAGATACTACCTAGTTATCTAATTCTCTAAATATAAACATTTTATATTCTAAGATCACTTACACTTAATACTCCTTTAGCATCTACAAACATTTCTCACTAGATTCTCATTCTGAAAGGCAGGTACAATATATTACTATCCATAAATAGAGTCAAACTTAAGACCAATAAAACTGGACTTGCGTAAAGCTCTTATACTACACAGAGACTTTCTAAGTGAGCACTTACGTAATGAGCGCCGTCTTTTGTTCTTTAGTTTCCTCCTCTTGTTCATTCCAGCTTTAGAAGGAGATTCTTCTTTGGCCTTTGGCTGGCTAGAAACTTTTGAGGAATTCTGCTGACTGAAGTGTGTGGGTACATGGCGAGCTAGCCCTCCCTGAGAAGCAAAGCTGGCATTGCAGCCACCAACTACACACTAAAAAGAAAGAAAAGCTGTCAGCATTATTGCATGAGGCATTAACTAGCAGAACTGCCGGTCAAAGATGGTGTCAGCAAGTAAACCCAGGTGTAACTGATTTAGAAATGATATACATTTCTTTCAGGAGTTCATTTCAAAACTCAAATAAGTTATCTAACAAGTAACTAGCCTGGCTGTTTCCAAGCTTAAGGTCACTATTCTCTTCAGTGCACCAAGACAAAAAAAAAAAAAAAAAAAAGCACAGCAACATCTTCCTAGATGTTTAACAAACCATGTTTATAACAAGGACAGGAAATCGACACACTAATGGCTGTAGCAATTCCCAGATTTTTTATTTATATTAAGATAGGATCTCCCTATGGAGCCATGGCTTGCCTCGACCTTGGTATTTAGACCAGGTTGGATTCCATGCACAGAGCCTCCTGCCACTTCCTCCAGAGTACTAGGACTGATTAAAGCCATGAAATACCATCTAAAACTACAAGCTACTGCAGACTCTTCAAAGCCCGCACTACTCTCCTATAGAAATGTAAAGGCGGAGTGTGACAAGCTTATGTATTTGTTATACTTTTACATCTATTAGAGGACGTGTTCACAGATCCAGGCTACTTAGTTTCTGTCTTGAAAAATCAACTACAAACATGTAACTGGTAGAGTGCAACACCACCCTACAAACCTCAGGCTCTTCTATCTAAGACACTACCGATCCTAATTTCGAATCCTAAGTTTCAAAAAATTCAGCACAATGTGCTATCAGGGAATATCCTAAATTCCTTCCAAGTACCTCCCTGTGGCTCAGGTGGGAAGGAGCTTTCCTCACCTGGGCCTGTGCTCACACCATCACTGTGCATGCACACCTCAGTCAACACTTTGAATGAAGCTTGCAAGTATCAACACCCTTATGCACATTTTTAAGCTCAAAACATCTTGTTAGCCACAGACATGTCTATACATAGCAGTGGAAATCAACAGCTGTGTGCTTATGATTCATATGAAATTAATGACAGACTGAACATTCAACAAGCTCTTTATACAGTGCTAATACAAACGGCACACAGCATTAAGAATCCACACACACTGTATTAGAAGTGCTCAGTGAGTTGGAAGAACACTCAAGATGTCACTGCGAACACTTGCCATTACCCACTATCATACAAAGTAGAAGAAAGCTGGATAAAGAAGACCAATTTCTAAGTATCTAAGAATTCAGTAAGACACACAGAAAAAGTAGTAACTTTAACTTCAATAATAAAGCTAAACTCAAGCTATTGTAATTCAAGAGAAGCAATTATCTATTCTTCGTAATATAATGTGCTGGGCGTGTGGGTCAGTGATGGCTCCAAGCACAAAAGCCTTGTGTTTTACCCTCAATATCACAAAAAAAAGAAAACAAAACAGTAAAAACACAATTCATTTAATTTTAGCAAAGCAGGATATTCACCTGCAGAAGAATGAAATCTCCCTGTACAAAAAACCAATCCAAACTTTTTTTTTTTTTTTGGTTTTTCGAGACAGGGTTTCTCTGTATAGCCCTAGCTGTCCTGGAACTCTGTAGACCAGGCTGGCCTCGAACTCAGATATCCGCCTGTCTCTGCCTCCCAAGTGCTGGGGATTAAAGGCGTGCACCACCACTGCCCCAACCAATCCAAACTTTCAAGACCTTCATTTACAACTCAAAATGAGAAACTGCTCCGAGAAAACACTTCAAAATAAGGATAGGAGCTGGGCAGATGGACCAGCGGGTAAAATGCTGACTGAAGAGGCATGAAGACCTCAGTCTGGATCCCCAGCACCTCCATACTTTAGCCAGGTACAGTAGTATCCATCTATAATCCTAGCAGAGAAGAGGCTGATAGATGGATTTCTGGAGCTCACTGGCAAATAACCAAATGAGAGGCCCTAGGTGGAGAGCAAAGATGTAGCTTACAGTGCAAACAAGGCCTTGGTTCAAGGCTCAGGCATTCAGGGTCACTGGCAACTACACAGTTGTGAACCACAACTGTGCTATGAGACACTATCTCAAAGAAGAAAGAACTGGGGAAGAAAAACAGTTGAGGCAAACCCCCATTGTCAGCATCTGACCTAGATGTGAACATATATGCCCCTCACTAACTCTACACAACTACAGGCATAGGCGTCTATAAGAATAGGAAGTTAAAAGGCTTCAGTAGGGCAGGCTAATATCTAGGCTGTATAAATAACTAAGACTAAACACCAAGAAATAAAAAAAATACCCTGGCAATCAGGAGAATGAGATGAACTCTAACCTATGGATCAGTGGGTAAGAACACTGCCTGCTCTTACAGGTGACTGGAATTCAAATTCCAGCACCCATATGGGGCAGTTTCAAGAGGTCCAGTATTTTCTTCTGGCCCCCACATGAACTTATAGACAAGTACATGAGTATACCCATACACAGACAAGAAAAATAATAAAAACAAATCCTTAGTGAGGATGATGGAATATACTTTTAATCCTAGCACTTGAGAGCCAGAGGCAGGATTATGAGATACTGAGGCCAGCCTGGCTACAAAGTGAGTTTCAGGCCAGCTACACAGAGAGTCTGCCTCACAAAAACAAAATACTAATTTTTTAAAAGGTCAATTCATGAAAAGGAAAGGTCTGTTTTCCTTTAATCACTTTTCTCCAGTGTCTGGTATAGACATTATCTAGCCAACACTGTTTTACTGGTTTACACGATTCCTTAGGACAGCCTAGGAAAGGCAGCTTGATGATGAGTGCACCCTATGTAGATGTTCTTAGTTATCAAGCTGAATCCAATTAACATGGAGAATGTATTATAATACTGAAAACACTAATCTCTGTGACACAGAAAACCTCTGAAGTTACGCCCTATAATACACTCCTAACATCTTTAAAAACCTCTTTCCTTTCTCCACTGAGAGTTGGATATGGTAGAGCATGCCTTAATTCCAGCTCTCGGGAGGCAGGCAAGCAGATCTCTGTGAGTTCAAAGCCATCTTGGTCTACATAGCAAGTTTCAAACCAGCCAATTAAATGCTGAGATCCCAATTCCACCCCCATCCCCACCCCCCAAAAAAATCCCTAATGAATAAGTAAACATTTCCCAATCAGTCAGGCTATGAGGGTTTCAACCATGCTGACCAGAGTGGCCAGCCTCACACTCCCAGGCTCCTGCAGCCCCCTGCCTTATCCTACCAATGTCCTTGGCTTCTGGGCTCACGGCTCTGCCTCTAAGTGTTTCTAGGACCTACATCTGTTCATGACTCTCTTCTTAAAATGAATTCTCAGCAATGACTACATTCTTTCAGAAAACTCAAAGGACATTTCCTGAATGACACTCATCTTGATTGTTTTTAAAAATTATTAAAGTTCTTTACAGTGATCCTATAAATCCTGTGGTATGCTTGCCTTAACTAGAAAACAAATTATTTTAAACATTGAAACAATTCTTCAGAAACATTTCTTAAAGATTTCCCAAAGCACATCTGTTTGACAAGCATTTGTACTGTCTTTATTCCCTAACAGTATTACCTGCTAATGAGGCTGAACGTTTGGACAATGAGACAGCAGTCAGATCACAGGGTCTAACTGGCTATATGGTTCAACATTATCTGACCATCTGCTGGTTTAAAAGACCCTTACTAACTGTCCCTGAATTTTATTTTAATTTATCCCCAGCTTCTTTTGAAATCTAAGCATCAACAAAATTGTTAACAAAAAGATCTTTTTCATGTTTAGAAAGCACCAGGGTCAAGTCTGTGGGAGATGCTTGCAGAACCCTACATCTGCTCCTCAACACTGAAAGGAAATGTTTAGAAGACTCAAAGCGCCGGGCGGTGGTGGTGCATGCCTGTAATCCCAGCACTTGGGAGGCAGAGGCAGGCGGATTTCTGAGTTCGAGGCCAGCCTGGTCTACAGAGTGAGTTCCAGGACAGCCAGGACTACACAGAGAAACCCTGTTTCGAAAAAAAAAAAAAAAAAAAAAAAAGAGGAAGAAGACGACGACTCAAAGCATGATCATTAGATCATTACACAGGTCAGCCAGGTGTGGTGGTTTGACCTGAAATCCTAACACTGGGAGGCCAAGGCAGCAGGGTTGCCAAGACTATAAACTCAGCTTGGCCTACATAAGGAGTTCCATGACCACCTGAACTACATTACAGAGTGAGACCTTACCTTTAAAAGGGAGAGATGACTTCACAGTGTGACTTTATGAATCCCTCATATACGTACCTTGAAAGGTTTGTCGCCACTGTGTGTCAGCATGTGCCGCTGTAACCAACTCTGACTGGTTGATGGGGTGTTATACACCTTACAACCTTTCCACAAGCAAACGAACACCTGTTAAAAGATCAATGTCGTCATTTATTTAGAAGACGTTGGCTTCTCAAAATTTCAAATATGAAAAATCAGTCTTCAACTGATAAAGACAGTGCACTCAATCAAAATATATTTAATTCTACATTTCTCAACAGAGTGCAGTTTTGCCACACTCTCAGTGCTGGGTCCTTTCCCCTTGGGAACAACTAATACACCCCTCAGGATGAAGATGACGATCTCCAGGCACTAAGATAAGCTTACTTATAGTTGTATAATAAGGAAGAAACTTCTGAATACTAAGTAAATATGAAAACTAAAATGCTCAATAAACATTAACTAGTAGATAAGCTTTTAACTTCAAAGAATGAGTCAAAAGTTACACTTTTTGTAAGCTACATTCTAAGTTTTCTACTCATGGATTCCTATTCTCACATCCCTACTAACATTCTATATTCTTGTTCTGTTTTTCCCATTAAGTATTTTCAGCTGTCTTAATTAATGAAACAAATATAAAAAGTTAACAAGACCGACCAATTCACTGCAAAGGGCTACACTCAGCTTCAGGAAACCAAATTTGACTAGGCCTGGAAAGTTCCAAAACTAACACCCTTCCCCTTAATGAGACTTCCTGAATCCAAACATTCAGAACTTTCCCACACACTTCCATCTTCCTCACAAAGACCTGACATAGTAAACTCTCTCTTAAAACTTTTTTGACTTGAAACTGAAACTTGTCTTCTGCCGGCGGTAGTGGCGCACGTCTTTAATCCCAGCACTTGGGAGGCAGAGGCAGGCAGATTTCTGAGTTCGAGGCCAGCCTGGTCTACAGAGTGAGTTCCAGGACAGCCAGGACTACACAGAGAAACCCTGTCTCGAAAAACCAAAAAAAAAAAAAAAAAAAAAAAGAAAAAGGAAAAAAGAAACTTGTCTTCCTAAGGAACAATTATATACAGATTCACTCTAGCAATACTGTACTACATATAAACATACCAAAGTGTGTGAAGACTGAAGACAAGTGCATTGAGGACTGAGAATGTAGCTCTGTGGTAGAGTGCTTGCCTACCATACACAAAGCCTGGGATTTTAATCCCAGGGAGCACAAAGCAAAATAACAAAAACATTTTTTTTTCCCGAGACAGGGTTTCTCTGTGTAGTCCTGGCTGTCCTGGAACTCACTCTGTAGACCAGGCTGGCCTCAAACTCAGAAATCCACCTGCCTCTGCCTCCCAAGTGCTGGGATTACAGGCGTGCGCCACCACCACCCAGCTACAAAAACATTTTTTAAAGAATGCAGGGCTGGAGAAACAACTCAGTGTCTAAGAGCACTGGCTGCTCTTTGCAGGGACATGTGAATTCCCAGCACCCACATGGCAGTTCAAACAGTTCTAACTTCAGTTTCAGGGATTCTGACATGCTCTTCTAGCCTCCTTGGGAATCAGGGACACATTTTAAAATCTAATGGGCAGCAAGCATCTCAATCTAGGAACTAAAGACTGAAATGAGGTAGACTCTGTGGTCTACTTTGGCATTCTGACTTTCTCAGATGGACCTGGTAACATGGACCTGACCCAGCTCCTTAGCAAGCACAGTAGGTACGACTGTAAGGAGAGACTGCTGTGTCCTCCAGTGGTTGGAAGAGTACTTGCCTAGAATACACAAATCTGGAGAAACTAGGTGCAATGACCATGCTGGCATTAGCTCAGCAATTGGGAGGTAGAGGCAGGAGACTCACAAAAGGCCAGCTGGATCACATGAGATCTGATCTCAAAAAACAGAGCTTCCTCTATCTAACAAGGCAATATCACTGTTGCCCTTCTAATGACTGCTCCCAGGATACTGCACATAAACTTCATTTAGGCAGACACTACATTTCAAAACACTTCCTCCTCAATGATTCCAGGCCTTCCTCTAGTCATTCTATAATGCTTCACTCTCCGAGGTTTAAAAGTTCCTTTAAACCACTGGTAGAGCAGCAGCCTTGTGACTGCAGTTGCTCAGCAGGCTGAGTCAGGAGATGAGTACAAAGCCTACTTGGGCTACAAAGGAAGTTCAAGAGGTAAATCACAAAGGCCTTCTGTTCAATACCCCACCAGAAAAAAAGTTCCCAAGATTACTTTGACCAGTGAAGTGAACCAGTGGGCACAGGCACTTGCCACCAAGCCTGATAAACTGAGTTCAATCCCCAGACTCCCATGGTAAAATCATCAATGCTGGCAAAGTGCCCTCTGATCTCTACACTCCTACCTCTCCCCACATACAAAATAAACAAGCAGATAACTGTAACACGGGCATATTTAAACAAACACTTCAAAGGTTCCTTAAAGAAAACAAGTCTCCTGGGTTCCGTGAGTAGAGCGCCTTTAACCGCAGGCAGCACTCCTGAGGCAGAAGCAGACCAATCTGAAAATTCAAGGCCAGTGTGGTCGACAGAGTGAAACCCTGTCTCAAAATAAATCTAGGACAAGCAAAGCGTGAAACGCTACACATTCCAGAAAATAATTCAGTACTGTTTGATAAGCACACATATAGACTCCAGAGTGTAACTCTCTTGACTGGCTAATGATGGACTGGACTGTCTTCAATTTTCAACCCAAGTAACATCAACATGGCTGAGCATGCCTTTAATCCCAAACACTCCAGAGGCAGAGGCAGAGAGGCAGAGAGGCAGAGAGGCAGAGAGGCAGAGAGGCAGAGGCACGCAGATCTGTGAGTTGCAGGACAGCCAGGACTATACAGATCAACACTGTCTTTAAAAACTAAAATAAAGGTGCCGGGCGGTGGTGGCGCACGCCTTTAATCCCAGCACTTGGGAGGCAGAGGCAGGCGGATTTCTGAGTTCAAGGCCAGCCTGGTCTACAGAGTGAGTTCCAGGACAGCCAGGGCTACACAGAGAAACCCTGTCTTGAAAAACAAAAAAACAAAAAACAAAAAACAAACAAAAAAAAAAAAACTAAAATAAATGAAAAATGAAGAAAAAAAAAAAAATATATATATATATATCAACATATTTAAAACAATATTTAATCCTAGTTTCCTAACACTAGAGAATTCCAATTTTGTTTCGATGGCTTGGTTTTTTGAGATAGGTTCCCTCAATGTGGCCCAATCTGACCTATATTGGGAGTCTGACTCAACCTCTCACGTCCCAAGATTCTTACAGACCTGATGCTCTATTAATCTAAAATCTTAAGTCGCTACTCTTTTTTTGAGACAGAGCTTCTTTATATAGCCTTGGCTGTCTTAGAACTAGCTCTGTAGACCAGGCTAGCCCCAAACTCAGTGATCCACCTCACTCTGCCTCCCAATTGCTGAGATTAAAAGTATGTGCCACTGTTACCTGGAAAAATGACTAATGTAGCTTTCAGAGTGACCCTGTCCTTCAAAAAACCAAGGAATCGATAAGAGAAGGGAAAGAGACAAGAATAGAGGAAAGTAGAGCCTAAGACTTTGGATGCACAACTCTATTTCACCAGTCAGTGGCTGTGCTTTCTTTGCTTTGTTATTTTTTCCTTGATCCTTTTTTTTAAAAGGGCTTGTGTGTTTTGTCTGAATATCTGCCTGTGCACCAAATGCACACATTACTGTAAGACGGCAGAAGAAAGCACTGGATTCCCTTGGAACCTGAGCCCGGGGGAAAAGCAGCCTGTGCTCTCCTGATCACTGTACCACCTCTCCAGTCCACTTGTCTGGTTTTGAAGCAGGGTCTCCACATGCAACCTCAGAACCTCTAACTAGGCATCATCCTGCCTCTGCCTCCTAAGCAGAGATTACAGGCAAAAATACCACTATTTCTGGCCTTGAAAACTATCTTTATACTCGATTTTTAGACACACTTCAAGTATAAAAAAATGTTTTTATTATTTTGTTTGTTTTTGTTTTTCTGAGGCATTGTCTCAAAATGCAGTCTTGGAGAGAACTGCTATGCAGACCAGGCTGGCCTCAAAGTCCAACTGCCGCCCGCTGCTTCCCCAGTGCTGGGACTAAGAGCTTGCCTCTCCAAATTCAGCAATGGGTCCTATAAATAATTACGGTTTGACTATTTTAATAAATCCATAGTCCACTCTCATGTAATATGGAGAAGCCTATGTATTATTAGGGAAATGGCATAATGGTACATGCCTAGATTCCCAGAACTCAGAAGAAAAGGTGCCAAAAAGTCAAGGCTAGCACAGCCAACATGCCACTATGTAGAATTCAAAGTACAGACGCTTGATTTTTTCCCCCTTTTTTAATTATATAAAATTTTTTAAAAATTCTTTGATATTAATCATATGTAGCCTAGATACTCTTATCTCAACTTCTGAGTGCTAGGATTATATAACACCCAGGTTGTCTCATAATTCTTTAAAGTATATTCATAATCTGTTGCTTAAATAATTTAATTTCCAATATACCCACCTATGCTTATACATGAAAGTCAGAAGGGACTAAGTCAGACTAAGAGCTCAGGCATCTCTTCCAGACCAGACCTGGATTCAGTTCCCACACTCAAGTAGCAGCTCACAAGCCTCTGTCTCCAGTATAAAATCACCAGGCACACATACACGCAAAACACCCACACCCGTAAAAGGAAAGGAAATTTTAAAGGGGGCTGGAAAGATGGCTCTAATCCCTTCAAACAACATGGGCTGGCTACATGTACCAATCCTGGCACCATCTCTCAGGCTGGCTGAGTCCCATCAGGGTAACTGAGGCTTCCAACAGGAGCCACACTAACTAACGACACTGGTTCCCAGTTGCTCTCCTCTCCAGTGCCAGAATCTTGGAAGTCACTATGTCCATTTATATATTTCTACTATAGCTTTAAAGGGTTCATTTCTTCAAAACAACATATCTAGCAACTAACTGAAATCCAAAAATTTCATCATGTAATCCTAGCAAGCAGATAGGGTAATAACAATTTAATAATAACAATTTCTTTTTTTTTTTTTTTCTGTTTTTTTGAGACAGGATTTCTCTGTGTAGCCCTGGCTGTCCTGGAACTCACTCTGTAGACCAGGCTGGCCTCGAACTCAGAAATCCACCTGCCTCTTCCTCCCAAGTGCTGAAATTAAAGGCGTGCGCCACCACCACCAGGCACAATTTCTTTCATGAAGAAAAATTCTATTTACAATGATAAATAAATACAATAAAAAAAACAGAATGAAAAAAAAATGACAAAACCAACCCCTCCACGCTGACCATCTACATGTATGGAGCGGATGTGGTCTGCCAGGTCTGGGCTGGAGTTGAAGCACGCCTGGCACTGGTCCCAACAACAGTTATAGGCAATGTGTTTGCTTGAAGCAGTAGTGCTCCCCTGTCCATTCATCATGGCTGGAGTCGAACGTCCACTGGAAATTGTGCTGTCTATGTCCATTAGAGTACTGCTTATGCTACAAGAGAAGAAAAGGGCTGTTGTTACGGTTAGAAATTCACCAAAATGTGTATCATCTTACAAATACTGAATTACATACAACATTCTGCTGCATACAGCTAACACTTACTGACCAAATTCTTCATTGCAATGCAATGCTTTGAGATTAGTTGGCAAGAAAGTACAAGGTAAAAATAGGACATTGCCTCAAAATCACATACAAAGCTGAGTGGTGTGGGACTGAGGTAGGACTGCCAAGAATTGGAAGACAGCTTGAGAGAATGAGATTCACTGTGAATACATCTTAAAGGAACAAACAGGGGCTGGGGATATGGGTAATGACAGAGCATTTTCTTAGCATTAGCTAGACTAACTAGCCTACAAGTCAAAAACATCACCACACACGCGCACACGCGCGCACACACACACAGAGGGGTGGAGGGATGGCTTTGAAGTTACCAAAACCTAAATAAGTCTTCTCTTGCCCTGGAGTAAACCAAGAAACTGGAATTTTAAAATGTGCGCTTACTGAAACCCCTAAACTAATAAGCTGCAAATAGAATTCCCTGGATCTCCCACACCCTAATCCTTTAAGATTTAAGAGGCCTTTAAGATCTGGGAGGCAGACAAACTAACTCCTAGATGGATACCTCTGATCAGGAGGCACACAAGGCTGCAGCCACCCCACCTCACCCAGAGGGGAGCTTAGTTCATCCACTGACAAAAGCTGGACACAGTAGGAGAGAAGAGCCGAGGGTCTAAGGTGGCCGGCCCACCAGGCTCCGTCTGCATTCCCACCAACAACACAGCACCCACTGCTCACAGGCTGGTCTGCCAAGCCAGGTTCATGTCATGTCCGTGAACTCCAAGGAATCCTCTAACCATAAGCACTGGGCACAGCAGGGGAGCCCCAACTGCCTAAAGCCCTTACAAAGAGCTAGCTGCCCACAACTCTGAAGGCCTTCCGGAGGGAGACTCTCCTTCTGTTTTGACACCTGAGTAACAAGACAGACTTGGTCTGGCAGACAATCAGGCAAGCCCTAAAGATTTCTGAACCTACTGGGAGAATCCTCTCTATCCGAGGGACCCCAGCTCAGTCATTTGCCTGTCTTCACTGACTGACCTTTTGGCCTTTCTTTCCTGGGAGGGCACCTGCAGACCAGGCTAGCCATCGCTCAATGTATAGTACACTTGACCTTAATTAAATGCTCCCTGACTCTCTGGACTGACTGCACCTCACTACTACTGAGGCAACTGGTACTGCCTACCATGCACATTTGTCCTTTTATTATTTGGTTTAACAACACAGGATTTCTTTATATAGTCCTGGCTATCCATGTAGACCACGTCGACTCAGACATACTCCTGTCTCTGCCTCCCAAGTGCTGAGATCAAGAGAGTGTGCTTTTGCTCACACTCAGGCTCACTCAGGCGCGCTCTCTGTCTGTCTCTGTCTCTCTCTCTCACACACACACACACAGCCTTTTTAAAAATTATGTACAATTTTGAGTATGCCTCTGTACCACTTGGTGCCCAAGGATACTAGGAGGGCATTGGATCCCCGAGAACTGCTATTTGTGAATTTGCAAGTCACCATGTGGATGCTGGGAATTGAACTTAGGTCCTCTAGCATATAAACCACTGCTCTGAGCCAGTGAGCCATCTCTTCAGTCCCTTTTTTAAACGTGTTTTTGTTTTCTGATACAAAGTCTCACTCTATAGCCAAGTCTGGTCTAAGAACTCATCCTGTCTGTCTGTCTCCCTGGTGTTGAGATTAACTGCCTTTGGGATTGAGATATCTTTACCACTCATTTTGTACCTGTAGCATGCTTTTTGGTTTTGAGGCTGAGTATCATGCCCCTAACTCCAGGTAGTCTAGGGATTTTCAAGTGGCTTCTTAGGGACTTGCTTTGAGTGTTTACATCTCTAAATGGTAGATTGGTAGGCAGGAGTTTTTCTTCCCTTCTACCATGCAGATCCATCCCAGCTTCCCTCAGGCATGTGGGACGGCACTTTAGCTGATAAGTCATCTTGATAACACCCACCCACTCACCCTCAAAAAATCATTTGACAGTCTCGCCAGGCTGCCCAGGCTGGCAACAATTAAACTTTTTTTTTTTTAAGATTTATTTATTTTATGTGAGTACACTGTAGCTGTCTTCAGACACCCCAGAAGAGGGCATCAGATCTCATTTCAGATGGTTGTGAGCCACCATGTGGTTGCTGGGAATTGAACTCATGACCTCTGGAAGAGCAGACCGTGCTCTTAACCACTGAACCATCTCTCCAGCCCCATAATCTTTCATTACATTATTCATGTGTGTTTTTTTTAATTGTTTATTTATTTTATGTATGAGTATGCTATAGTTGTCACTACACATACCACACACCAGAGGACATTGGATCCCATTACAGATGGTTGTGAGCCACCATGTGGTTGCTGGGAATTGAACTTAGGACCTCTGGAAGAGCAGTCAGTGCTCTTAACCACTGAGCCATCTCTCCAGCCCACAATTATACTTTTAAAATTCATCTCTATCCCAAAAGTCTATCCCAAAAGTTTATCAATCGGCTTTAGCTTGTGAAATCTTCCTCCTGTTTTTTGGGGGTTTGTGTTGTTGTTTTGTTTGAGAAAAACCATACTGTCCCAGGCTGCCTGGAACTTGCTCTGTAATCAAGCACAGCCTTGAACTCATGGACCTCCTCCAAAATCATCATCCCGTCTGGCTCATCACATTTTTATTATGAAAAGCTCAAATTGGGGTATAACAAAGTGGTAAGCTGCCTCCATAGCAGGTCCAAGGTCCAATTTCCAACACCAAAGTCAATCAGATTCAGTTGCAGCCAGAGTACACTGCATTAGTGGAATACAAGAAGGGAAATTTGGGAGGGGTGGGGGCGGGGTGGGGGACATGACCTGCAAGAGATGGCTCACTGCAGGTAACCTGGGTTACAATCTGACAATGTCTCAAAACCAAACACATTAACTGAAGAGCTGAGAAATAAACTAAAATGTGACAAAAAGTATGAAGACCTGCCCCCCAAATCAATATCAGATACCGTTTTTATTTTTTTTTTGTATAGAAAAGTTTATTAAGGGCATGCATGGGGAGGGGAGTTAAGAGGGTAGTAGAGGCAGAGAGAGAGAGAAGAGGAGGAGGAGGAGAAATAGACACCAGCCATGAGCATGTGGAGAGAGGCGGGGGGGGGGGGAGAGAAAGGAAGAACAAGAGAAAGTAAGCGAGCTCATTTTCATTTTTATGTGTTGGGGCTCTATATAGAATTCCATTTGAGGAAAATTTTCAATCAACTACTGGAAATTCATAAGTTGTTTTAATTCTGAATGACACACAGCTGTACATACTTATAGAGCAGAATGCTGTTTCACTATCTGTACGAATGGAAGAGCAAACTAGAGTAATGACCGTCCCCTAGCCTTTAAACACCATCACCTGCTGTAGCCCTTGCACTAATCACTGTGCGGCGCAGGAGGGAACACAACAAGTTATTCCAAGTGCAGCACTGTACCCTGTAAATTGTTTTTAAATTGTATTTTCTCAACAGACATCAAAATGTCCACTACTGTGAGAACAGCATTTTTATATTAAAGGGCTGGAACCCCCTGTGCTGAGCGTGACAGGAAAGGATTAAGGTACTATGAACTTAGCAGGAATGGTTACTCCAAACCCTTCCTTAAAGAACAAATCAATGTCCTGATTTGAAGTTTCCAATAAGAACTTCCCTAATCTCTAAGAAATCAGACTTCTTTCTTTCTTTCCTTCTTTTCTTTCTTTCTCTTTCTTTCTCTCTCTCTCTCTCTCTCTCTCTCTCTCTCTCTTTCTTTCTTTCTTTCTTTTTTTGGTTTTTCGAGACAGGGTTTCTCTGTGTAGCCCTGGCTGTCCTGGAACTCACTCTGTAGACCAGGCTGGCCTCAAATTCAGAAATCTGCCTGCCTCTGCCTCCCAAGTAAAGGCATGCACCACCACTGCCCCGCTACCTTAAGTTTTTTTAGTTGGGTTGGGTTGTTTGATTCAGGTCTTCAGGAAGATCCCAGACTGGCTTTGAGCTTACAAAAGGAATGAGCCATATGTCAAAAATCTACCTTGTGAGTAATAAGCAACCTGTGTAGCAAACTGTAGACAACCTTAAGACCATACAAAGGATCCTGAATCTAAGCGCTAATGAGGCAGCCGTGTTGGTACCAAGGGCTTCTCTTCTCATCTGTAATACCTAGGACTTAATTACTAGGACTGCTGTAGCCAGGCGTGTCCCTTCTTTAGGATCTGTCTGCAGTTGGGTGGCAGAGGTGGGCATATCTCTGAGTTCCAGGCTAATCAGAGCTACATAGTGAGACCCTGTTTCAAAAAATAAATAATTAAAAACTCAGGCTACTTCCCAGCACTTGGGAGGCAGAGACAGGCGGATTTCTGAGTTCGAGGCCAGCCTGGTCTACAGAGTGAGTTCCAGGACAGACATACACAAAGAAACCCTGTCTCGAAAAACCAAAAAAAAAAAAAAAACCCCAGGGTAAGGGGCTAGAGAGATAGCTTAAAGTAAAGCATATGGCTGTCTCACTGAGCAGATCGTAAAAAATTAGAAGTACATTAAAAATCATTAACCTAAACCAAAAAATTATTACTGTTATTGCTCTAATTACATATAATTATCACAGTAAAACAAATAGCCAAAATGGGTTTTTCTAATCAAGATGAAAAGACACACAATGACTATCCTCACAATGACTTCTCTAGAGAAAGACAAAGGATTTGTCTCCCCAGGACCCAGCAGCACTCACTAAATTGGTCAAAAGGGACTTTATGCAACAATGATGAAACGCAGTCTGCAAAACAAGCTGGCTGCTTTCCTCTATGGCCTCTCACTCCACACTGCACACTGGGTCTGTTTCTCAAGTAGACCGCCCTTCAACACCACTATGACAGTTCTCTAGCTGGAGACAGTAGCAATCATGTTCAGACTAACAGTGGAAATGCCTCACTTTAATACAGTTACAACAAAGTG